CGAAAGCAACAACAAGCCCGGCTCTCTCCTGTCCGGTGAGGGCTTTCAATGTCGAAGTCTTCCCAGCCCTTCCCTGGGAGGCAGATGGACTGTAGGAGTTTTGGGGGTTTTTTTTAGGGGTCAGGGGCTAGGTTTCGGGATTGTAGGGCGTGGAGCTCATAGAGCTCATAGAGTGCCGGGTTTGAACACAAGAGAACAGATGAGCTCCGCAGCAAGGAAGGATTGCTTGTGTAAGAGTTGAGGTCTCTAAACCCTAAACCCTAAACCCTAAACCCTAAACCCTAAACCGTGGGTCATGTTCAGGTCTGCGCTACGGGCGCTTAGGATTTGTTGGGATTTGGACGGCTGGCTCGATGGGCCTGGCCGACGAACATCACCTTCAGTGTGCGCGGGCGCAGCATCCCACATTGCAGGGCCTGAAGGCCGGGCAGGGAATGTAGGGTTTAGGGTTTAGGGTTTAGGGTTTAGGGTTTAGGGTTTAGGGTTTAGGGTTTAGGGTTTAGGGTTCAGGGTTCAGGGTTCAGGGTTTAGGGCTTAGGGGCTTAGGGTTTAGGGTTTAGGGTTTCGATAAGAATCTTCTTGTCAACTATTCGCAACCGTCATGCAGGAAGCAAAAGGACATCAGCCACAGAATTGCGCAGTGCGCTCGGAAGCCTGAGCCAGTCTGGAGTCTAGAGCTGAGATCACGCATACAGGAGTTCTTTAAGCCCTGTGCAGGATTCACGATGGTAAAGACAAAGAGAAGGTTTGGGGAAGGTCTTGTTTGGTAAGCCCCAATGCAATGCTGATGAGTAGTTGAAAGAATCGTTTCTTGCAAGCGTGCCGTGAACCTCTCCTTTGGCCCACGAAGCCCGCCACCCCCATCACGGTTCGTGGGCACTGGTCGTGCGCTCAGCCCCTGCAGGATCTTGCAGGTCATAGTGTGTATAGTGTGTATACAGGCATATGTATATCTTATTTCGTACCCGAACAGTTTCATCTGCAGGGCTTGGAGGGCTTTCCCCACCGCTGGAGGGCCCTGGATGTCGCCGGAGGTTCGGCCTGCGGATACACACCGATCCGAGGAATCCCGCGCTTTTGGCAAACGACGCCCGTAGGCTCATATTAACCCTGCGTCGCAGCACTGCCGGATCACCAAGCGCCACCATGGGGCATGATAAGATCTGTGTTGCAGAGGTGTGGCCGCCGCAAGACCGTTCGCAAAACTGGCCATTCTCTATTACCCACCAGGCCGTGCTAGGGTATCCATGCTGTGCCGGCCCACGCAACCACAATTGTCGATATCGATCTTACCAGCGCAGACCTGAACAAGCCCCATTTTTTTGCAAATCGAAATTCTCTGAGTTGATGTGGAATAGCTTGCAGTCTAGAAGAAAAACACATCTTGGGATGCTCTAAGCAGTCCTTGAACGGGAATATAGTAACCCGTTTGCAAGACTCCCCTACTAAGGACTAGTATCAGGGGGAACATACCCGGAACACATCTTCAAAGCCCTGAGAATGGGCAGTGGGCGGTCTTGGGGGTGGTTAGGGCTGCAGACAGAAGGATGCCTCACAGCGCATGCTTGTTGCTCGAATACCCTCCTTAATTAGCAACAATTCTTCCAAAGACTGGTGCCAAAACCCAAGAAGCCTTAAGCCCTAACCCTTTCAACCCCCAAAACCTAAACCCAACACCCCAAACCCCTAAACTCTCCACTTGCCTTGCGCGGCCAAACCCGCGAGGCCTCCCGAAAGGCACGCCGCGCCAAGTCCGACTGCGCCAAAGACCGCGCCGCAGCCTCTTGGGCTGCGGCTTAGGGTTTTTTCGGGTTTAGGGCTTAGGGTTTAGGGTTTAGGGTTTAGGGTTTAGGGTTTAGGGCTTAGGGTTTAGGGTTTACGGTTTTAGGCGGTTTAGAGTCATTTGGCCTGCGCGTGCACATGCATACGGCATACGCCATCGAGAATTCACACCTGACCAACGACACTGCACAAACAACAGGCGGAGGACACCCAGCATATGCCCGAAGCCGCAGTGCTCGAAATGATTTCGCGGCATGCAAAACGTAGACGAGCGTATGCCGCACACAAAGCAGGGAGACAACATCGACCCCAACAATGAAACAACTCCCCTGCAAACGTAGACCGGATCCCAAAAAGCAAAACGAAATACCTCCGACATGTCAGTATTCAATTTCTGGATCTCTAGCTCCATCACCAGCTGAAGAGCGAGAGCCAACTGTCTACGTGCAGTCCCATTTTATCCAGAGAACCGACTACACAGATCCCAAGAACCGTCCAGCCCAGGACCCCCCAAAAGGAAGTACCCACACCACATCCCACACCACATAGATCCCAACACTCAGCAGGGTTTCGGACTTCGGGTTGCCTTTTTGTGCGGCTCGTCACTCAGCTCAGCGTCAGAGGTGCGAATGCTCACGAGAGTCAAACTTGGAGGCCACATGAAGCCCTTCGCAAGGATCTTAACTTTGGGTCCATGCATCATCCTTCACGCGGATGTTTTCTTAAGGGGTCGCAGCCTCGGAAAGGGAAGAGTATCCCAATTTGAGGGTTCTTTTGTGGTCCCCAAGCAAGAGACCCTGGGAGCCAGAAGCACATCGCTCACGTCACATTCACATGGCGCGTCCTGAGCGAACAAACGATCGACTGCCTGCAGGTACCCAGAACCCAGTCCCGATATCGCTGCACCAGGCGAGTCCCTATTTTCGCTACACCCAGGTGCAAAGAAACATGCAGCGGCCACGCCGTCTCGGGCTGCAGGATGGGCATCTGTGGCCTATACTGCGCCCGAATCGGCATTTCACAGCGTCGCCGACTATGTTACACGTGTAGCTGGGGACATAAGGGTGAGCTGAGGCTGCCAGGGCACAGGAAACGCAAACAGCCCCCAAGTCTCTTCAAAAAACTTCATCGCAGATGATTGCAAGCCTGTGGTTCCTGGCACGCCCTTCACACCCCAGCCGGACCGCAGACAGAAATTAGAGGGCATGGCAGCTTCTTGGCCAAGTATTGCAAAGGGGTGACGGGTCCCCTAAACCGTCTGCCGAGCACTGCACCCCGCTGAACTCCCCCGCTAAACCACACATGTCCAGCTCTCTGAAGCCCAGGCCCTTTGTACAGCTGAATTCAGAACGCCCGAGTGGGCGATGGCAGCTTTGTCTAAGAAAGGAACTTCTGGGACGCACCCCAGGCTTTTTTTCAGTGACCGATGTCTTTTCAAGTTCTTAGACAAAGCTGCTTGCGCAAGTTGGTGCCATGCGCCTGTTGAGCACTCCATGAAAACTCGGTTCACATTCGGTCACCCCACAGGAAGAGGTGGACCGAAGGTAACAGAACCGAGGCCCTGAGTGCACGATGCCTGAGTCCTGAAAAAGCCACATGTAAAACATATCAAGTATACTGCAATAACTAGAGTCACTAGAGAAAAAAAAATATATATATATATATGTATATGTATATGTATCTATGTATCTATGTATCTATGTATCTATGTATAACTACTCATAAATGAGTAGCAAAAAACGAGGATGCAAGGCAAAGGGTCATCTGGTGATGGCGAGTGTGGCTCGATGCCACGTCACAACGTGGTTGCGTACGCCTCTGAGCAACGGCGGCCTTGCCCGATCTGCGACACGACGCAAAACTGCGAAACATTGGCGTCGACAAGTCGCAGAAAGAGCAGATACAGCCGAGTCCTTAATGGAGACCGAGGGCCTGGGCAGCCAACCCCTAAACCCCAAAAAAACCTTAAAGCTCTGAAAGCCCCTAAGTTGCTGCTGAAACCTGCAACTTTAGCCCAGGTCGGTCAGCTTGGGATGCGAACAAGAGGTCTTCCACAGAACGCCGAGCCAGTGCAGCAACCCTTGAATCTCAGGCTTCAACAAACGCTACCAGCAGTACTAGTCACTACTCCCAGCACCCGTTAAGACAGGCTTCAGACGGTTTCGTCTGAAAACTGTCTTGGGCTCGAACGCGCTCGCAGCCGATCGCTGCCTCAACAGACTGTGGATTGCGGCAGCTTCCAAGAGCTACCAACAAACATAAAAGTGATCGGCAGCGCGATTGAGTTTCGGACTCCTTCGTGTCTGCTTTGGAACTGCGAAGAATGGCGAAGGCGGTAAGTCATTTCTCAACTCAATCGCACGGTGCAGCCGCTGCAGCATATGAGCATTGCGGCCCCTCAGAAGTTTCCTCGGCAGCGGTTGGCACAACGGTGAGCTTGAACAAAGCAAGACGTCCCCTCGGTGGGAATCGCGGGTCAGAGGGCGTAGCCTGAGTAACGCAGTACTCCACTTGTGGCGTGGCCCTCTGAGGCCGGCCATGAATTACGCCTGTTCGTTCGTCCATTGCTACTCCGAGTGGAAGGCTCGGAACAACGGTGAAAACACCTGGCATGGGAGATGCCCGCGGCCACAACTCCACCATCTGACCGACATAAACCTCGAGGTCGCATGGCACGTACCTAGGATGGCCCTTAAATCCCTCTGAAATATACTCCTGAATATGATCCTCTTGAGCCCAATAAGGGAAAATATCAAAATGTCCCAAGGGCCTACCGAGGTACTCGAAGGTGAGCTTCTGGGGCATAGGAGCCACGGGCACCGAAGCGTGTGCTCTCACAACCGCCTCGACGCCTTCATCGTCCTGACCCTCCAGACCTGCGAGAAGCGAGACCAAGAAGGTGTACAGCGAGACGTGCGAGGTCAACTCTTCCAGGCTGGCACGCCTCGTGCTGCCCACATGGCTCACATGGCCCGCATGGCCCGCATGGCCCACATGGCCCACATGCCCCATGCTGCCCATGAGCTGGGCGGACTCCATGGGTCCATCTGTGGACAAAAAGTCCGCCAGCCTCAGGTCATGCGGGCCTTGCATGCTCAACTGCGCACTCGACACGGACTCAGTGCCTGATCCCATGCTGCCACTGCGATCTCTCACCTGCACCTCGCAATCGGAGGGCTCGGAGCCCGTACAGGTAGTTTTGCTGCTGACTCTGCTGACTGCATCGCCACCTTCGTGCACTGTGGGCGTACGCCCTTCGGGTCCAGGGTCCTCGAAGCCTTGGCCACTCGAGGTCACGGCCTTTTCCAGACTTGCAGGACCACCGGGACCACCAGCTGCACAAGCCATATTTGCTCCCCAAACAGACGCAGCCACAATCTAACTCTTGAACTTCGAGGACCTTCGCTTGCGCCTAGGGTTTAAGGGATGCTAACATACCCCCAGAAGTGCTACAAATCCTTATGTTGGGGAACACCCGACAAGGGCATCACGAAGTTGTTGAAGTGCCCTCTCTCTGGCAGCCAGAAGCATGAGCGCGGCAACCGGGTATGTGGATCCGCTTCTTCCGCCTTAACCCGGAGTTCCCCTTGCGTCCGCCTATACTCGGGTATTTCTGAGCCGGGGTCCTGCTCAGAAAGAACCCTCAACGTGCTAGAATGCGGAAAATGTGAAGAAAAAAACAAAGAAGCAACGCCCTTCCCAAACTTGTGGAGCCCCCCCCTACTACTACTTTGCCCCGGCTTGAACAGCGCCTTCGGCAGAGAGAACTCGTCGCTGGGCACAGCGTCGTGCAAGCCCTGTGGGGTCGCTGCAAGGGTTTCCGGATGCTTGGCAGCTGTCGGATTGAGGGTGTTTCCGAGGGCTGAAAGGGCAGCAGATAAAGAAAAGGACTGTCTGAGTACCCCTAAACTCTAAACCCTAAAGCCCAAACCCAAAAAAACCCAGAAAAACCCTAAACACGGCCATCTTCAGCCATTTACGAGAGCTCGACCGGACCCGGCGCTCCGGGGAGAAAGTTGGAAGCCCCTAACGCCCCTGAGAGTTAACCCTGATGCCCCTTCCAAATCCCGCCGCTTTGTTCGGTGTCCTTGTCACCGGCCGCAGAAAAACCTGGTGTTTGCAGAACTGAATGTTGGAGTACGCTTCACACAGTTTGAGTATGCTTTGTACACTTCTCCCTTCAATGAACCCTAAAGACACTTGGGAGCCCACAAGCACGCAAAGCAGAGTTTCACAGGAGCTGCGACTAGCACAACCTCGAGAGAGCCACCCACAAATGTTAGCCCGAGGTAGTTCTGCAAGGCATGTGCTCCTCTCCTTCTTCCGCACCAACCCCTCATCTTTAAACCCTAACCCTAAGCCCTAAGCCCTAAGCCCTAAACCCTAAACCCTAAACTCTGAGACACAAGAATCTCCGGCTTCAGATGGAAACCTCCGCTGCATGATTGTACATCAACCCTACTTCTGAGGGCGGACCAAGGACAAACCAACACAAGGGGAGCAGTATGGCTGATTCAGGGACCCTAACCCTAAGCCCTAAACCCTAAACCCTAAACCCTAAACCCTGAACCGCAAAAATCTCCGATTCAGGGAGCCCATGTGGCGGAGCTTGTGCGCAAGCTGCATCTGAGCGGTGGAGGCCCGCTTGAAGTCCTCGCGACCTGAGATCTGTGGCCCGAGCTGTCAGAAGGTTTTACGAGATTAGGGTTTAGGGGGTTCAGGGTTTAGGGTTTTCGGGTTTAGAGTTAGGCCTACTAACAGTCCTTAATCGGGATCGTAATGGTACTCTTGCCCCCATTGATGACTGTTAGCATAAGGGGGAACATGCCAACCTGTCTCTGTTAGCACTCAGCACAAACAACCCAGATGCGAATGCCCTTTTGCATCCGGACAATCACCCCGTAGGAAGTCAACTCAGGCGACCTAGACTTGCTGGTCGCCACAGCACTAGATGTACACACACATTCTAGCAAACAATCTGGTCGGATCACAGCGACGACATCAACAAGGGCTTTAGGGTTTCGAATCAACCCAGGTCCAGAGGTTTATGAACGACCTTGACCTGAAGCCTTCTCGTGAAACTCCCAGCTTTCTCTACTTGAGCCCCTCAGCTTCCTTTTTCGGGGGCCGCCCCCATTTGATTTTTTTTTTTCTTTGGGGGGGGGGGGGGGGTGGGCGCCAGGAGCTCAGGACCAAAAATGCATCCAACAAACAATAACAAAAAATGTGTAAGTACTACTGGACCTCATAAACCCCAAAAACCGCAGGCCCAGCTGCGTTTCATGTACACGCAAGGAACCTCGTGGGACATGTGTCAGGGACAGGCGAGGTGCTAGCGCTGGATCCAGTTGAGCGTAGCGCCTGAGCACAGGCATTCGTCACAAAATGCGATGCGGGTTCAGTGCTTAGGGATGCTAGAGGGCGCTTGCTGGAGGCGTGTTGTGCTTAACCCCACCGCTCCCTGACCCATCTGCACCCAACGCTAGCAGAGCTGAAACCAAAGCAACAGCTGGCTGTCGTCCTGAACCCTGAACGCATACGGAAGATACTGGCTTGCAGCAACCTCTCCAAACCCTAAAGCACTTTTTTCTTGAACCCACCCCAAGCCCTGTAAACTCTCTAGAAACCCGAAACGAAACCCTCTAAACCCTTAAACTAAACCATATGAACCCTAAACTAAAGCCGAGAAACCCTATAAACCCTACAAGCCCCATAAACCTTGAAAACCCTGTAAACCCCATAAAACCCCATAAACCCTATAAACCTTGAAAACCCCATAAACCCCATAAAAACCCATAAACCCTATAAGCCTTGAAAACCCTACTATAAACCCTATAAAACCCATAAACCCTACAAACCCTAATCCCTAAAACCCTGTAAAGCCCCATAAAACCACCATTGGAAAGCCAAGGTGCTCTCTCCATCTGCCGCCGAATGAACACGGCCTCCGTGCGGCGGAAGGGTACCTGAAGCAGCTCGGGCTTGGGGCTCCGGGGGTTTGGGGGTTTGGCGGGTTGGGGTTTGGGGGTTTGGGGGTTTGGGGTTTGGGGTTTGGGGTTTGGGGTTTAGCGTTTAGGGGTTCGGGTTTGGGGTGTGGGGTTTGGGGGTTAGGGTTTAGGGGTTGGGTTTTGCGCAGCAATGGAGGGGTTGGGGTGTTTGTGGCGGCCGCGAGCTTATGGCTTTGGGAACATGTTTTTGAAGGGTCCGTAGCAGTTCCTTTCGCTGGGGCTCTGGCTTTGGCTGTTTTTTGGAAGCTTGGCCTTTCCCAAAATTCGGGTACCTACTTGGGGGAGGGGGGTGGTCCTTGTAAACAGGTGTTCCCCGATCGTGGGAAACAACCATATTGACTGGCTTGTTGTGGTTGCTCTGCTTCGCCTATGGTTGTTGTGGGGCTCCGGCCAGAAAAAACCTGTCGCGCGCTTGCAAGACAGCCCAAATGATCTCACAAGGAATGCCTAAAAGATCAAGATCGCTGCGGCTCCATCCTTGTGACCTTGTAGTTCCCGGACCCAAAGATGCACCTAACAGACTTACAAACTTCGGCGCAGCCCCTCGTAACCCAACAACCCCAGAGCCCCCTAAATCCTCAGAGGCACTGGACCCAAAATCTTCCACAGAGCCCTCAGCCTTTGCTATTGTGTGCAAGGTCCCTGGTCAAGGCTAGTATCGTCGCTACCCACTTAAATGGGCGTTCTGCTTCCAAGGGAAGAGGTTGGTCGCTTGGGCTGGGGTTGAGCCCTAAACCCTAAACCCTAAACCCTAAACCCTATATAAACCCTAAACCCTATAAACCCTGAACCCTGGCCAATTATCCAAAAAGAATTCTACCTTCCCCGGCCGCCTGCCTCGCTTGAGCCGCTACTCCGCGATGGGAGGCGGTGCGTGGGGCTGCCTCCTGGATGCTTATCTATACACATATGCAATATATATATATATATACATACATACATACATACATGTATGGTACCCCCGTATATATACTGTAATTATGTATTTATTTGCATATGTCATCGTGTTCGCTTCCTGCTCCGTTAGAAATTCAGCAGAAACCGCTGTGAGAACCCAGGTCTTCCCAACGGTCCTGGCTTGACATTCCGGGAGCTGCGCTCGTGAGCAGTCTTCCGCATCTCCTCCCCATGAGCCCCCGGGGGTTTAGGGTTTGGGGTTTAGGGTTTCGGGTTTAGGGTTTAGGGGTTTGGGTTTAGGGAATCAACTTCTGGCGCCCCGAAGCTTCTCAAGTGCTGGGGTGCGAAGCACTTGCCACCCTAGCTGCAGCAGTGCGTGTTGGGGTTTGGCGTTTGGAGTGTCGGTGTCGCGTGCAGCGTATCATGATTTTTGGACCGTTTGGCCCAACTTAAATCCGGGTATGACGAACACCCGTGTGGGCTGGGGTCAAGAAGTAGGAGAACTTCTCAGAAAGCCGTCAACAACTAAACGTCAAATCCATGCAGATGCTTTGGAGTGGGTGCCTTGAAAGGCATCCTTCGCATGTGACGGGTTTAGGGTTTAGGTGTTACCGCGACCTTAAGTAGAGGCTTTCCCATCCGACAGAAAGTCCCTGCTACACACGACAACCCCGAAGGCCGGAAGCCCCTCTCTGCCTCCTTTTGTATCCTTTGGTTGCGGGTTTAGGGTTTAGGGTTTTGGGTTTTGGGTTGTGGGTTTTGGGAGTCTTCACACTTAAAACCCTTCCACGGTAGAATTCCACCTCGTCGAGCCACCGCGCGGGCGTTCCATGGAGGAAAGCTCTACAGGTGTCAGTCCATGAAAATCATCTTCAGGGGCAGCTGAAGTCAGGGATGGGTTTAGGAGCTGAGGAGTTGAGGGACACGCACGTGTGCGTGTTGATGCAGGAAGTGTGGTCTTTCAGAAGATCGCGGGGTCACGGGATCATATCGCAGAGGATCCCAGGCGTCGTGGGTGGAGAATCTGTAAGGACTGCTGGGGCGGTGCAGCTGCGGAACTCGCCGTGCCATCCGATGCTATCCAGTCCCTTTTCCAGATTCCATGACAGGGGCGCTGAAAGAGACGGTCTCTCAAACTGAGCATGAATTACCCCGCGTTCGTGCCAGCACAGCTCAAGTTATAGCACTGCCAGCTTGTTCTTCTGAGGCCCACTACCCCCTACCCCCTCCTGCCCCCGCCTACCTACCCACGGTTTAGGGTTTAGGGTTTAGGGTTTAGGGTTTAGGGTTTAGGGTTTAGGGTTTAGGGTTTAGGGTTTAGGGTTTAGGGTTTAGGGTTTAGGGTTTAGGGTTTAGGGTCTAGGGTTTAGGGTTTAGGGTTTAGGGTTTAGGGCCCCCTGCCGGTACCTCAACCCTGGGCTCGTCTGTTTTCTCGCCGCTGGCTGGGTTTGGGTCACGGGCGAGGGCTGAGTCGACAAAGGTGCCTGGTCACTGCTGGGCAGGGTGTCCAGGGTCATGGAAAATGGGTTTCGGGTTTAGGGCTTAGGGTTTTAGGGCTTAGGGCTTAGGGTTTTAGGGCTTAAGGCTTAGGGTTTAGGGCTTAAGGTTTAGGGCTTAAGTTCGCGTCTCCAGGATCCACGAACGGGGAAACAGGCGTAGGGAGTAGCAGCCACAACCCGTCAACCACGCGAAGTGTTTAAGGCGTGCAGAGACGTCGAGGCTACCCCTTCGACTCCTGCGACCAGCTTTCGATTCAGAGCCCTGCATCTCGGAACACCCCTTTGAGTCTCGTCCTCTATATATAAATACACATATAAAGATGTTTGAAGAAGTATTTATGTAAATGTGTATACATATGACTGCATCTGGTTCTCTGGATTCTGGTTCTGTGTCTGTCTGTGTGTGTGTGTGCGTTTTTTGCCCCCTATCTAGCGCTCATCTCTCGATCACGCACTGGGATACAAAGTAGCTTCAAATCTGGGCTCGGGGATTGGGGCTGTGTAAGGGGCACACTCGAGGCGTTGGCAACCAGACTCCAGAAAGACCTTGCACGCGGCTGGCCAATCCAACCCTGAACTTACTGGCCCTTGGGCATCCGGGAATGTCTGCAGTGGGATGCACCAGACTAAATTCATTAAGAAGCTGTTGCACTCGGGTCAGCCAGAGCACTGCAAGACTTTTTGGAGACATGCTGCATCATAAAACCTTGCGCAGACTTGTCACAAGGGCTTCTCTGGAGAGGCCTGCGCTCAGCATGACGCCTGTGGAATCAACGCATCCGAGGACGCCATCGATCTGATCCCCGAACCTGATGCCAGTGGCTCTTCCTCTCTTCAGGCCGGGAGCATCCTCTCAGCCCTCGAAAAAGAAGCCGCGGTTTCGCGAACGCAGAATGACCACGGCCAGGTCCACATATAATCTTGGGGGGGGGGGGGTATCGTGGCCACTGCTACGCGACCATCTTCGGCAAGAACTCATTCTTCCACTGCCTCGGTGCCGCCGGATGCTCTGCGGAGATGTGGGAGGTTCGGGTTCGGGATTCAGCTTTATGGTTGCGGGGTTTAGGGCTTCAGGACCCTAAGCTCCATTGGGTTTAGGGTTTCGGGCTTCGGCTCTCACAATCGCACGAGGCAGGCAAGGATTCGGGTTTAGGGTTTAGGGTTCAGGGTTCAGGGTTTCGGGTTTAGGGTTTGGGGTTTAGGGTTTGGGGTTTAGGGTTTAGGGCCAAGCCGGAGTTGATATATCTAGCACTCAAGCCTTCCATGGGCTTAGGCTCAGGAACGTTGAACCTTGATGCCGCTGGCACCGTAATTTTCCCCGACCCTTTTCCCTTTTGGATTTAGGGGTTGCTTTGGTACACTTCTCGATTTGTGGATTTAGGGGTTAGGGTTTAGGGTTTGGGGGTCAGGGTTTCGAGTTTCGGGTTTAGGGTTCCCTCCCCTATTAGGAAACCAAGTCTCTGTTCCAGGGTTCACTGGAAAATCCTGCGCCTTTAAGGTTTTGGGTTGAGGGATCCCGCTCTGAACCGAAGCCGTTGAGACCCAGCGCCGGCCCCAAACCTTCAATCCGACAAACTGGGTTGCTGGTAAAAGGAACTTGAATCAAATTACCACGATATGGGCGTTTCCGATATTAGGGGGTACCTTCTTAGGGTCCTTTTTGTAAGCGGATCCGACTATTTGGGGTCGATATTCGGGGCCCCTTGGTCTGTAGTGGGTTGTCTTGCTTCCGTTATTTTGGGGTAGCGTGTTTTTTAATCATTAAGTTGGATAGATAGCACACACTGAGGCCGCGCAAGCTTGTGCTGAGCTTCTGGACGCGGGCTTCACTCAGGGTGCCATCACCTTGGGTCATGCTCCGGCTTAGACAAGGCATCAAACGACGTGGGTGAATTTAAAATGCCCCTACTCCACCCGATTCTGAAATGTTCAAAGTGGGGGGGGGGGGTGTTTCAATTTGGGGGGAGAAAACCAGAGTCCTCTTTTTAGCAAAAGAGGAAGTCTGCTTGAAAAACTCAGCAACATAGGGAAGGCTTGGTCAGGAACCAATTGCAGTTCGACTGGTTTTTCGACTCTCAGCTCTTCGACTGGCTTTTAGGGTTTAGGGTTTAGGGTTTAGGGTTTAGGGTTTCGGGTTTAGGGTTTCGGGTTTAGGGTTTAGGGTTTAGGGTTTAGGGTTTAGGGTTTAGGGCCCGGACGCACAACACATCAACTGAGGAGCAAGCACGATTGACTGCACGACTCTCTCCGACTATGCCAGCATCGAGAAACAAGTTCGACTGTGAGCACTAAACGAAGCTCTAAAACCCTTAGCACGAAAATGGCGAAAATCCAAACTCCAAACCCTGAGACCCTACAACCCTATTTTTACATCCCCTACAACCCTAAAACCCTAAACCTCACGTTGGCTTGCAAGGTCCTCCGGGGCAGAGGCGCCACGCTGGCATGGCCGCGTGCTTTTTTTGCAGCCATGACCGCCCTTGCCCCTCAAAATATCCGCCCAGGCTACCGAAACCGGTTCTCACGGGCTCCGCAGCCCCAAACCCTAAACTCTATGAACTCTAGACTCCGTGATAAACCCTCAACTCCCTGAACTCTGACTCCATGAATAGAGCCTAGCAAAGTTGGAGCCATTGAGGCGGCCGAGGCACGGTCAAACACCTCCAGACTGGGCAGAGATATAGTCAAATTGACCTCAGAACAGCTTTTTGCAACATGTGGGGGTAGTGCGTAGGGGGAGGGAGGTAGGGGGCAGGGAGGTTCTTCGGCGCCGTTACTACGACTCGACTATATCTCCGCCATCTTTTCGCTATTCATGCATAGATCCGTGAGTAGATCGTAGACACTTCTACTCGTGAGTGACTGAGTGCACGAGGGAGGCACCTGCAGCAAGCAGAGCCGTGCCTAAGGCGCCATCCGCCCCGAGATATGGGACTTGTGGGATTGGAGGCCATTTCCTGTGTTGCCAGGGCGGTCTGCCATCCACACTCCCAGGGTTGCGGATAAAACACTCAGGGAGTGTCTTGCACTTCCTATCTGCTGTTGTTGTTCTGTTCTCTGGTTCTTTGAATGTATTTCATTCAGCCACTCGAGCCGTTCATTCCCTCCTGTGCTTCACAGCATCGACCACCACTATGTCATCAACATCGGTTTCATACAATGATGAAGATGACCATCGCTACTGCTACTATAAGAATCGCCTTTGCTTCTGTGCTTCTTGCTCTCGATTAGTTGTGTGCTACCATTCGTCATGATGAACGCTTAACGTTACTTGTTAGTTGCAGCTTGATTTCTCTTTTTTGAGGTCGGGCTGCTCCAGGGCACTCGCTCTCGAAGTATTCATGGATCTGCTCCAGAGTCCAGCCGGTCAACCTCACTGGAGCAGTCTAAGGTTCTCCACATTCCAACTCACCGCCCCAACCGGGCGAAACCTTGGTCACTCCGAGATTCACGAGCCCCCAACATTAAAAAGTTCCCCAACCAGTCCCTTGGACACCCAAGCATCTGTCAAAAAGCTCTCGTGGAGGCTTGCTCAGCGACAAGGCACAAGAAGAGAAGCCCGAAAAAAGACCCGGGAGGCACCGACTCAGCCCTAAATACCTTCGATCAAGAGATCAAGGTAGATCTCACTGCTCAAAGCACACGAAGTCAATGAACACTACAAAGGCGAAAGCCTTTTCACTCTCCTTAGATCCGTGCCGTATAAAGCTCACATGCCCACCCTGTTGAGTGGCAAACGGCCGCAGATAATGCGGCTGATGGAAACTTCTGGGCAGCTGCAGGGTTCAAGTGACTGGCAGTCTCTTTACATGGGGGGAAGGAAAAATTGAAAGAAGTCGTCCCCATGATCGGAAGGCGAGGCTCTTTCAAAGAGCTCACTGCTGCCACTCTCTGCACTGCCGGCAAAATTTGGCAGGCTCCGAGCTTCAGTCCATTCTGCGAACACAGTCTACGTGCTCAAATCCCTTGTGCGCCGCAGCAGCCGAGACCTGCGCAGCAAGTTCCTGTAGCTCCGGATGCCGTGTGGATGACAGCAGCCGGGAGCAGTGTTCATCTGAGTGCCGCCTGTGAGCATGTTCGGGGCCGGAATCCTAAAAGGATCCCAGCGTGCAGAGACTCTCAAGCTGTCGCTCCAAGCCTGTGCACTCATTGCGAACTTGCACGTTCCATTCTCGCATGCGCTCAATCTCGCCGTCGCACTCACGAAGACGCATAGCTTGGTACTGCATCGTGCGATCCTGCTTCGTTGGATCGGTCTGCATGCCCACCGTTCTCGTAGTCATCGTTGTAGTCTGAGCATGATTGTCCTTCACCTTGACGTTCGTGACCGGGACCGTGAGCTTCATGCAGAGGATCTTGTAGCCGAGGAAGAGGGCGCCAACGGTGATGAGGAAGGTCAGCAAGAACACGCCCTCAACCCGGTAATCTGTGAAGCGAAAGCCATGGAAGTCCTCGTACTTGTAGCCGTTCACGTGGTCGGCGCACTCCAGGGCGAGGACATAGGAGAGGTGTCGGGCGATCCTTGACCCATAGTGTTGGGATCGGCCAGTTGCGCCTCCACTTGCTTTCTGCTGGGCCTGCTCACGGTCAACTGCAGTCTTCTTCTTGGCAGCCTTGAAGTTTTCGTCGTAGGTGATGCTCATCTTTCCACTGCGCAGCATCTCAGCAAAGGACTGACGGGTGGCCAACTTCGTCAAACCATCGGCGAACATCCTCTCGGAACTCACCCACCTCAGGATAACACCCATTCGGCGGATCTCCTCCTGGACGCACAACACTTCCACCGCCGTTCGTTTGTCTTGACTGGAGGTGAAGCCGGGCTTGCGCAGCGCATCGTAGAGGGCCTTGGCGTCCACGACTAAGACCACGGAGCCAGGCCACTTCGCTGTAGCTTCTGCTGCTGGATCCTGTCGGGGGTCCAGGAGCAAAGAGAGCTGTGTCCGCAGCAGGTAGGCCTCGTCCAGGGCTGTGGCAGCAGCTTGCGACTCCGCGGAAAGGCTGCTTCGGCATACACGTTGGAGTTTGAACGATCTCCAGCTCAGCAAAGAATATGGCACTGTCTCCCCTTCGAGGATCTTAGGCGAAGTCATCACCACGAAGTAGCCGCCCTGCGAGGAATGGTCAGACCTCACCGCAAAGGAGGCGTCGGAAAAGACAACCATGCACATGTCCTCGAGGTTGTCACAGACTTTGCCGTAGGTGAGCTTGGCCTGGTTTGTTTTGGCAAAGCGAAGGGTCTTGTTGATCTCCAAGTTGCCGGTCGCCTTCGGAACATCTGCTGCTAGCAAGCTCATAGAGGCACTCAAGGTGGGAACTCCTTGGCCAGCTGGCCACTGCAAGGCCCCGATTAAGCCTCGGAGCTTCGTCACTTCCCACTTGTTCAGCGCTTCCTTAGGGTCGCGGTTCTTCTGCAGCGTCAAAGGGGCGACCTTGCGAAGGTAGTCGCCGTAGTCAAGGACCACGCCGTCCTTGGTGAGCTCAAGCTTGCCGCCGCAGTACACGACCGGCTTGCCTAGTGTAAGCTGATGCCACTTGCCGAAATCGAAGTTCTTTCTGAGGTTTTGCAAGGCCTCTTGAAACTCAAGGTGCTGGGAGAGGCCGGTCACCAACATGTCGTCGACGTGAAGCACTACGCACCCCAGGAGAGTGCCATTTTTGGAGTAGTACATGTAGAAGCACTTATCCAAGAAATGGCGCTTCCAAAGGCATGCGTGTAGTCGTTTGTCGGCTTCTTTGTACCAAAGTAACGGAGCATCGGCCAGTCCATACGCGGACTTGAGCATGACCATGTGCACGGGCTCACGTCCAAAGCCTAGCAATGGCCCACAGTCGTTGGGAAGGCGAACAATGACTCGTCTGTCAAAGGCCGCCCCGCTCAAAAAAGCTGTACGAACATCGCCCACGTAGAGATCCCAGCCCGCGTTGCCAGCAAGGGCTAGCAAGACTAGCTTTGACTGTCTGCCTGCTGTTGGTGCCGCCTTCTCGATGTTGAGCAGATCCGGATCTTCAAATCCGCGAAGAACTAGCCGAGCTTTCGCTCGAGGATTGCTTCCATCCTCCGCCTTGCGCCATGTCAGCACCCATCGCGCTGACACCGTCCTGCTCGTGTCCTCCTCGTCCTCTTTGCAAAAGCGCCAAACAAAGTTCGAAAAGTAAGAGGTGAGCTCTGCCTTCTTGGCCTCGATCATTTGCGCCCTTTGTTCCACTGTCATCGTCTTTTCGCTGGCTTCCTTTTGCGCAAGCCAAACTTCGTCCAAGGTAAGCTCGCCATCAATGACAAGCCACCCTTCAGGAAGGCCGTCACCAGCAGGAGCCACCATGTGCACGTCCACGTAAAGGTCGTCGTCGTCATCGGGCACAGGAATACTTTCTGGCACAGCACTGCTGGCACTGCTGGCAGCAGGAACTCCAGGGGGAAAAGAGGAAGCCGAAGACAAAGAAGCACCAGGACCGGAGTGCAAGCGAGGACGTTTGTCGACAGGCTCGCCGGTCTCAGAATGAGCCGGCTCGGGCTCGGCGGCGGAAACCTGGCGGCGAGGGCTGCGCTCACGCTCGGCACGGCGAAGCTGCTGGTAGGCCAGGTCCACGGCGCCAGGTAGGACAGGCAAGTCTTCGGGCTCACGCTCAGAGTCTGCATCAGAGGCGGGCGGGTCGGGGCACTCAGACGGGGCATAGTCGAAGTCGCCATCGTCGGAGGGCTCAAGGTCGTTCTCGACGTCCGGGGCCACAGCCATGTCCTTGTACTGCGTGGTGCCACGGGCGCGAAGCGCCCGCAGGTCCTCCATGGCAGCTTCCAAGTTGGCTGCCAACCGAACGTTAGCATCTTCCACAAGACACCGTACTTGGTGAGGAGCACAGCGAATGAGGGAGGTGCCATGCGCCAGCCAAAAGACAAGCTCTTTGCCCTGGTCGTCACGCTCGACAGCTACTACACGTGCCGGGCCACGCCACTTGTTTTTCTGCAAAATGCCGGTGCCCTGCAATCTCCAGAAAAAGACGCGTTGTCCAACTTGAGGAAGGATGCCCGTTCCCTCCCTGTAGTTCTTGTTCATGGCACGCCTGAGCTTGGCATCAGTGTCGGCGCGGACGAAGGCAACTTGAGCTCGCAAGCGCTTCTGCTGTGCCTCAGCGAACTGGCCCACGTCATCTATTGCTGGGGTAGAGGGGGCAAAGTACTCACCGGACAGGCTGCAGCTGGTCATGGGTGTTTTGCCCAAGACCCACTGTGCCGGGCTGAAGCCACGCACGTTTGAAAGCGTGTTGACCTGCCCTGGGACGTAGATACAAGCTTCTCCCAACCTTGCCTTGGTGAAGGAGCCGGCATCCTTCATGTAGAGCTCGAGGCTGCGTCGCACCACCTGGTGCCTGCGCTCCACGGCCCCAAGCCACGAGTGGGCTTCGCCAGGCGTGACCTCCAACACGATCCCGTGGTCGCTTGTCCACTCACGTAGCAACTTAGATGACCATCCAGCTGCTTCGTCGACTCGGAGGTGTTTGGGGACGCCGAAGTGCTTTACCCATGACCGCTCCAGGCCTTTGATAAAGTCCTTTGAGGATTCAGAGTTGACAATCCTCAAGGCCACATATCTTGTCATCTGGTCCATGATGCTCAAGACGCACACTCGGCCTTCGTCGGTGTCAACCCAGGCCGAATCGACCATTACTCGGTCGTTGAACTGGCGAGCTTCCAAGCCCGCAGCAGGAGGCACTCCACGGGGGCGTTGCCTCTCAAAGCAGTTGGGGCAGATGTACTTTGCTGCAGCCTTCATGACATCGCTTGTGGCCTGAATCTCGCCAAGCATCTTGCAAAGGACCTCACCAGAAGGATGGCCCAAGTTCTTGTGCAATCTGGCGACGTAGTTCAACGCCTGGCTTCCGACCTCCTTTCTCAGAGCTCGGTTTGCCTTGACGGGGTCTTTGTCGCTGTTGTCGTCCTTGGTGTCGGCGTTCTCCTTCTTGTCGGGCGCGTCGAAGAGCTCACTCAGGGAACCCTCCAGCGGCGCGTAGCCCGTGTCCTCGTCGTCGGCAGCGTGCACAAAGTCAGCCTCGTCGTCCTTAGCCATGAGCTCTGCCAACTTCTCCGCAAGGGCCACCGGGTAGTCCTCCGCGAACTTGCTTCGTTCTCCCACGTTGGCTGCTCGGCCTTCGGGATGAACATGCGGATGCTTGCCACGACATGTGCGTTGAAGGCCTGCGTGGAGTGAGGGCTTTGTGGTTCGGAAACACGTTGGCTTCTTTGCAAAACCCATGTTGCCCAGCTCGTCTGGCACTTTAAGCCCGTACTGGCACTGGTCGACGTAGGTGTCCTGGCCAACGACCTTGAAGAAAGCCTTGGTACGCCACGCCCTTGATGTCCAAGGATGCTCCAGGTGAGCATGCCGTCCTTGCTTCCGCTGGATCTCATACACCACCGCGCAGAAGGTGAAGATCTCGTCGTGGTTGCGGCGTCGGTCTTCGCAAAGCTGGCGCTTCCTCCATGGATGCGCTGCCAAGCTGATCTCCTGAAGTGGGGACCACAACTTGCTCATAGGGCTCAGCAAAATCTCATCTGGCTGCTCGTCACAAACTCGCTGTATGAACTTCTTCCTATCCTTTGCACGCAGGAAATCCCAGCCCTCCTTTTGCGAAAACCTTTCTGTGCGCACACCCTTCTTCTCAAGGCTTGAAGTTGTACGGCCCTTGCCAGCAAACACTTCCCACACTGTCCTCTGGCCCACACTGGGAACTGTCGCTGCTCGTCCCAACATGCCCTTGATGTTCTTGGCGATCTTGGTGGCCTCATGGGAAAATGTGGTGAGCTTGCCCTTGGGGAGACTCCGCACAATATAGCCCACATCACTGGAAAGAACCGCAAAAACACTGTCGTCTGCTGTCGCTGTTGCTCGGTTGTTGTGGCTGTCGTGGTTTGCTGGGGTGTTGCGGCGGTTGTCGTGCTTTGCTGTGGTTGCTGTCAAGGTGTTGTGGCGGTTGTCGTGGTTTGCTGCGGTTGCTGTCAAGGTGTTGTGGCGGTTGTCGTGGTTTGCTGTGGTTGTGGCCTGCGTGTTGTCTTCGCCGCCACTGGCAACCTCCACCAAGTCACTAAAACGAACCGGCGGAGTGAAGGAGCTTGCTCCAATCCCCTTTCCGTGGCCTTGCTTGCTCGCAGCCTCCAAGCTGCTATTCCCCACATGGCCATCCAAGTCACCATCGGTGAGGTCATCCTTGCCCACGGCGTTGCAAAGGGCATTGTCGGCGACGTCCACGGCTGCAAACACGGGGTTGTCCTGCAAGAGCGTCTTGTAGCCCAAGTTCTTCTTGACATTCACGTGGGCCTCAAAGTCGGCAGGGAGAAGCACCTCGTCAAAGTCGGTGTCGGCCAGGAGCAAAGAGAAGTCCTCGACCAAGTTCAAAAGATGTTCTCCTCGACTGCCTGTTGGCATCTGCTGCCAGTCTTGGTCTGGCCACTTCATGGTCTTGCTGGCGTAGTCCACGGCTAAACCAAGGCGCTCCAGAATAGGGCGCCCAAAGAGAAGGGGCGCGCTGCCACCTATGACGTAGGCCAAGATCTTCATCTTGCGTCCGCCCAAAACCACTGGCAGCAACACGCTCAAATCGGTCACCTCTGTGGCCGAATTGCCATACTTGAAACCCTTGTTGCACTCGTAGACCTCCAACTCGTCTAGGTTGTAGCCATTCACCAGCAGGTACCTCAGGAAACGCTTCACGTGGAGGAGACTGCCAAGGACAGCTGAAGCACCACCATCCTGAACCGCTGTAGTGCAAAGCTGCGTGTCCTCATCGTTGTCGTCGTGGTCGAGGGCATAGACAAGGGCGTCGCTGCTTTCGGCGTCCGTCACCATCATGACCTCGTCCTCCACGTCAGTCTTTCTCTTCTTGTCTCCTGCTGGGCAGTTGCGTGCCCAATGGCCTGCTTGACCACAGCGAAGACAAATCTGTCGGCCCAGTGCTGCTTTGCCCCGCGCCTTGGCTCCTTTCGAAGAGCCAGGTGACACAGGACCTTGCTTTCCACGGCCCTTGGGACTTGAACTTTTGCTCTTGCCGCGCTTGCCACCACTTTTGCCACGCGAGGACGACGAACGAGGCGCAGACGAGGAAGGAGGAGCATTGACCATAGCAACCACGGGATAGAAACCTCTGGCATTGCGCATCTGGTTCAATCGCAACTTTGCATCGGCATAGGCAGCGAATACGTCGTCGTACTCCTCAACGTCAAAGACCTCGCCAACGCTGCCCTCCTCATCCAGCTCGTCCTCGTAGTACACCTGGTCGGAGTCCACCCATGGAGCTTCCTCATCGTCCTGGTAGTAGGCGGCATCCTCGACATAGGCGTAGTCGTAGTCGTCGTAGTCGGCCTCCTGGTAGAAGACGGCGTCCTTCTTGAAGCCACGGCCTGCCTCAAGCTTTGAGTCCTGTCCCAGGATGAAGTTCATCGCTTTGGACACAGTCTCCAGATTCAGGTTGTCCACCCCCACGTTCGTGAGGATGAGCTGCCGCTGTTCCTTGGACACTCCGCTTCTTCTCAGGAAAAACCACGCACGAACTTTCTCTGGCAAGTCTACACTGTGTGTCCTGCGAAGTCTGCGCTCTGCCCTCAGGTACTCGGCGGTCCACTCCTGAAGCGTCTGGCCACCCTTCCGCTGGAGCTTGATGAAGTAAGCCTCAAAGTCGTCAGGCAACTCAGTCAAAGGATCAAACTTGAAGCCACGATCCAATCTTTCAAAGAGCAGCTTGAAACCATCTGGCTTCTCCATATCCTCCAGGGGAAGATCTTCGACCAAGTCCCAGGCCTTTCCAGTCATCAGCGTCACGAGGTTAAACACCACCTCTTTTCCACGGCCAGCCATATCCATCTTGGCTTTGTAAATGTCTGCCCGCTTGCGGTACTCCTTGTAGTCCCGCTGAAAATTGTTAAAGACTGGAACGTAGTTGTCCGCCTTTCCTGTGTAAGCAGTTGGGCCCTCGCTGCCCTGTGCTCCAGGGCTGGCCCCTGGACCGGTTCTCGACATTGCAGCTGCCGCGCGCTCGCCACCGGGCGCCCTTTTGGTATTGGAGTCTCAAGCCCCGCTACCAGGATCAAGAGATCAAGGAGATCTCACTGCTCAAAGCACACGAAGTCAATGAACACTACAAAGGCGAAAGCCTTTTCACTCTCCTTAGATCCGTGCCGTATAAAGCTCACATGCCCACCCTGTTGAGTGGCAAACGGCCGCAGATAATGCGGCTGATGGAAACTTCTGGGCAGCTGCAGGGTTCAAGTGACTGTCAGTCTCTTTACACCTTCAACTTCATCAACCTAAGCGATAGAACGCTGGACACTTAAAGGCTATGCTGCACGTGCGTGCCCCGTAAACAAATACTTTACAAAGGAAACACCCGCAGAATAGACGCAATGCACCCTGTCAGCGCACTGTGTCCTGCATGGGCGGGGGCGAGGAGGGTGCGAAGGGCGCGGAGGGCGCGGAGCGCGCGGAGGGCGCGGAACGCGCGGAACGCGCGGAGGGTGCGGAGGGCGCGGAGGGTGCGGAGGGCGCGGAGGGCGCGGAGGGCGCGGAGCGCGCGGAGGGCGCGAGTGCGCGGAGGGCGCGGAGGGCGCGGAGGGCGCGGAGGGCGCGGAGGGCGCGGAGGGCGCGGAGGGCGCGGAGGGCGCGGAGCGCGCGGAGCGCGCGGAGCGCGCGGAGGGCGCGGAGGGCGCGGAAGGCGCGGAGAGGGCGGAGTGCGGAGGGCGCGGAGGGCGCGGAGGGTGCGGAGGGCGCGAAGCGTGCAGAGGGCGGAAGGGCGGAGGGCGTGGAGGGCGCGGGCTAGCACATCAACCGAACCGCGCCGAACCCGTCCGTCAACCTCCATGCATGGTCCACGCCTCCCCACACCACGCCCCTCTCCAGCAAAATGTTCCGAACCCCCTCCCTTGACCGCGTCGTCTCCGCGGTCCGCGGCCTCCCGTCAAAATTCATTCCGTCCGACCCTCCAAGAAGCGATCCGATAGAACGCCTTCCGCATTGAAGCGCCAAACAAGAACCCAATTTCAGAATTGGTTTTCGGGAAAAATCCAAGAAAGCAAAGAGCACGCGCACAATAGACGTTAAGCGTCCAAGGCACCCGTAGGATGGACACTTAAAGGCTATGCTGCACGTGCGTGCCCCGTAAACAAATACTTTGCACAGGAAACACCCGCAGAATACCGCAGAATAGACGCAATGCACCCTGTCAGTGCACTGTCCTGGGCGGGGGCGCGGAGGGTGCGGAGGGCGCGGAGGGCGCGGAGCGCGTGGAGGGCGCGGAACGCGCGGAGGGTGCGGAGGGCGCGGTGCCTCCGCGCGCTCTGCGCCCTCCGCGCCCTCCGCGCCCTCCTCACCCTCCGCGCCCCCGCCCAGGACACAGTGCGCTGACAGGGTGCATTGCGTCTATTCTGCGGGTGCGTTGCGTCTATTCTGCGGGCGTTTCCTTTGTAAAGTATTTCTTTACGGGGCACGCACGTGCAGCATAGCCTTTAAGTGTCCATCTCACCCCCCCCCCCCCCCAAAAAGAGAAAACAAGAAGAGAAACGGGGAAAGCAGAGGTGGGGGGAACTGAACCCCAACCTGCGACCAAACCTCCTTTGGCCGAGGCGCACTTGATGAACACCCAGGCTGTAAGTTGCTGGGCCTGCTTTTGCTAGGCGTGTTGGCCCCTTACACTAAGAGTCCTTAGTAAGGATGATAGTTGGGGGTACTATAGAATCCCTATGAAGGACTGTTAGTATAAGGCGGAACATCCCAAGGCTTATGCCAGGCTTGATTAGAAGGGGAAGATGGACAGGGCAGGTCAACACGCAATCTCTCCCTCTAAAATCCCCAGCTTGCAGCAGGTAGGACAAGTAAGCCGAGCCCCGCCCTGCCTGAGACCTTCTCAGAGGCTGTGCTCTGCTCCCGCGAGAAGCTCGCCGCTACTTCCGCGGGAGCCTCAGAGCAGCTAGCGGGCCCTTTCCTTGGAGCTTTGTGGCCCTTAAAACCCTTTGAGAATATTCCTGCATGTGATCCTCTTACACCCAATAAGGGAAAATATACAATATCCTTCGGGCCGACCTAGCTTAGTTGGTTCAGGGCTGTTGGGAGTAACGGGTTGGGAGTCTTTGCAGAAAGGAGGCCAGCTTGTCCGAGTCGGCAAGGTGCTTGCAGAAGTAGATGTCCTCTGGCAGCCTCAATCTTTGGGGGCTTTGGTGACCCAGCTTCCAAAAAGAAGCCTAAGCTTGCGATTTACAGGGCCCACTCCAAGTCTTTATAGGGCCCCGTAGTTGCCACTCACCACTCCGATGCTCCCGCTCACACGAGGCCAGCCAAGGCAACAGCTGCAGGGCTCACATCTTCACCCCGCCTAGCGGCAAGCCCTTTAGGGCCCAGCAGAGTCTAGGCCTCAAGGTTTGCCACGCGCCACACATCCTACGGCCCAGGTTACTCGCCGCCACTTCTTTCAGGATTGGCTTCGCAAAATGTATAACACGTAATCGGTTATATAATTTATGGTAAATGGGGGGGGGGGCAGTTGACAAAAACACTAGCAAATCGTTCAACAAATAATCGCAGCTTGCGAAGCGACCGCCTTCCCCGAAACCACGACAAGCCCTAAACCCTAAACCCTTAAACCCTTAAACCCTGAAACCCGAAACCCTAAACCCTAAACCTTAAACCCTAAGCCCTTCTCCGAGCGGCCCCTCGTTGTTGGGAAAAGTCCTGGCCGAGAGTTGCGCAAGGAGTTTCTACAGCCTCTTCCCTAAACCCTAAACCGTAAACCCTAAACCCTAAACCCTAAACCCTAAACCCTAAACCCTAAGCAAATAGCGGCGCCTCGTTATCCTCAGCATTGCCTCCCTGTCTCGGAGACTGAAGCCGCCATTGCCCACAATCCTCAAATGCCGGAGGGGGTGTTTCGGGTTTAGGGTTTAGGGTTTAGGGTTCTTTGCCACCCGCTTAGCTGACCTCTCGGACACTCTGCAGGGAATGGGGTTTAGGGTTTAGGGTTTAGGGTTTAGGGTTTAGGGCTTAGGGCTTAGGGCTTAGGGTTTAGGTTTAGGGTTTAGGGTTTAGGGCCTTCCAGAGAAAAGGGGGGGCGGGAGAGAGGGGGGGTGGGGTGGTTGTCATCCTAGTGCTATACAATCAAATCTCCCCAAGAAAACCACCTTTTTTATGGTTTCGGGTTCAGAATCGTGCCACAAGTGGACCCTCGGGCCTAGGAGCAAATAAGGTTTTTGGCAGCAGAGGCTCGTCTTATGTTGCCTCGTCAATTGCTGTAAATAGGATGCCATGCCCATTGAGCTGGAGCATCAGAGGCAGGAAGAGGAGGTTTCGGGCAGTTCGGGCGTTTTTTTGGTACGAAAGACAAGACGCTCCAGGAGTGAAGGTAGCTGGAGACCCTTGAGAGGTCCTGGGACAAGGCCCTCGAGGGTTGTGGAGGCTGCTGACCCCTTGAACCATCTGAAAGCCGAGACCCTCAACCCCACTCAAGGTTGCGGGCTCGGGCACTTTGGGCAGCGCATCTCCTCGTGCTCCGACCAGGGGGCTCCGACGTACCTTGGATCAGGGTGGCTTTGGATGCAGCAGCACGGAACCCGCAACATACCCCACCATGCTGTGATCCTCATAGCAGGAACCCCTGGCCGTAAGTTTTTGAAACCCCCCACATCATCCCGCAACGTTGAACTTGACTTCAAAGCTCCAAACCTTGGAGACCTCTCGGTGCTTTCACCTGCAACATCAAGAATCTGAGAACAGGCACAGAAAAGAGAAAAAAAAAAAAAAAAAAAACTCTCAAACCTTGAGCCCCGCAACACACAGTGAGGTGCCCGGCCAAGGAGCAACCACCCGCTCGCGTTGCGGAAGCTCCATCAGGAAACCCTAGCATAATGCACCCCCGCAACCGGAGCCCTAATCCTAAACCCTGTGCCCTAAACCCTGAACCCTGATCCTAAAACCCTACAACTCCAAACCCAATTTGGGTGTAGGATTCACACTTTCCCTTCTTTCCCTTCTCGGGACAGTCGAGGTGCTCGTACTGGAGGAAGTCCTTAAGGTGCTGTCGTGCCCCATTACCTCGGCTCTGCCTTAAAAGAAAGCGCTAGCGGTTCGTTCTCGCGCGTGGTGCGAAAGCATCGTCGCTTCCGATGGTTGCATGGTCCAGGGGCAAGCACCAACCGTGTTCACAAAAGTTGGGAGTATTTGTTCAGATTCGCTGCGCCTCCCACGCGCCGGCTCTTCACCTTCCATTCATGCTTCACATCGCGATGGTGAGAAGGATCGTATCCCACAAGTGCGGCCATTCGCACGCACTGGCAACACGGACGTAATTTATCGTGGCACGAAACACTACATACCGATGCTAAGCCAGGGCAACAAAGGTGTGAAACAGCAAGTGCGAAAACACTGCGCCCACCGATGCTTTCGGCATGTCACCCACACGACACACTGTAAGCACCGATGTAAGCAACATGTGCACAGCGCGCTTGAACAAACCGCTGGAGGGTAACAAAACAAAACAGCTGTGGGTTTCGGGTTTGGGGGTTGTAGGGGTTAGGGGTTTAGGGTGCCTGCGGAGCTTAGCAACATTGTAAGGCTCTTTAGGGCCTTTAGGGCTTGTTGAAAGCCCCAGCTTAGAAGCAGACAATACAAGTCTGGATATCTGATAGACGGATGCTTCCGAGTTGGAGGCTGAGGGGGACCACGAGAGAGCACCGCAACATGCGCCACCCGCCGCAGGCTCCCTGAGAAACCTCACTTCCTCTCTTTTTTGGTGTGGGGACCCAGGGATGTGTAGGGCTAAGGGTCCCCTAAACCCGAATCAAACCTTTTTCGTAAGCATGAGACCCAAGAGAAAAAGAACCCTAGACCCCATTTTGCACAGGCTTGTCTGAGCGCCTGACCCTTAACCCTAAACCGCCCTACACCCTCGCTCGCCACCCAACTCCCAGAGGCAGCCGAGGTTGCAGAGCCATGAGTCCGTCTGTGCCAGCAAGACTTTCCTGATTTCGGGCGCTTCTGCTCAGGGCCTTAGGGGTTTATAGCCAGGTGTTTACTCGGCGCTGTCTCTGTATCTGAGTAACAGAGCGCGACTGCACACTGACCCAACATTATAGGGATGAACCCGCCAGCACTGAAACTACAGGGCGACATCCAAATTCAGCAGCCGATCCGACAGGTTTAGGGTTTAGGGCTTGGGGTTTAGGGTTCAGGGTTTAGGGTTTAGGGTTTATAACTCTAACCCTCCTTGGTTCAAAGATTGTACAATATTTGTTCCCAAACAAGCACCTTATACCTGACAAGCATTCTTGTTGCTGCATTCTCAGCCTCCAATTTCAACACATGGACCCTAGAGTCTACATTTTCAGTGGTTGTTGTAACGAATCCTTCTGATTGACAACAGCAGAAGCCACCTTCTGCATCACTGGCCCTCCGAAGCAACGCAAGCAACGCCGGGCTGCGGGGTGGTAACCTGCTCCCAGAACCTGACGGCATCGCCATGCTCGGGCTTAGGGGCCCCACTGGGAAGTTGAGAAATTCACATTTTAAGGCAGGGTCTGTACACTCCAATTTCGACAACACACCTGCCTAGCCCGAAACACATTCCTACCCCTGCACTTGTTGAATGCCACACCAAAACCCAAAACCCGAAACCCCTAAACCCGGAACCCGAACACCAAGCACAGTCCCAGGTGCTCCGGAGACTCGAGAGCCTCAGCGTCGTGTTGGCACTACTTGCGACTGAAAATGTTGTTGCATCGCTGTTCTATTGATACTTCTACAATGGTTCTTCTGAGTTACGACTGTGCTTAGTATTGAGATGGATTATATCGGGCTGGCTCTCTAAATCTTGGTCCTTTTTTGGAGATGTGAGGGTTTATAGCGGAATGGGGAAACGGCCGACGCTACTTTTCATCCGAACTGCAACTATTTCCTAGCAGTGAGGAACTGGGCAACTACTCTGACAAAGTGCACGCAGTGGTCTAGCAGAAGGAGATGGGAGGATCACGCGGGAGCGCTCGCAATGCGGTGATGGAGGAGACCAGCCGACGCAATGGTCTTTGCACGCATGCGATAGGGGTGGGAGGTCGCTTTTGTTGCTGCATCTCCATGGGGGCCATCGTGGCTTCTTGATCGTCTTCCAGGTGCTTGGCGGCTGCTTGCCGATCTTTACAAAAGGTTCGGAATGCCTTCCTGACATTCGGGCACTGTGCTTGGCATTATTTGAGCAACTCGCTTCACAAGAGTCTTACAGTAGAAGTTCCCCGAAGCACATGAAAAGAGAACTCTTCCAAAGCTCTTCGAAAGCGAGGTGCCCTGGAGTAGGGTTTAGGGTTCAGGGTTTAGGGTTCAGGGTTTAGGGTTTAGGGTGCTTAGGGTTTAGGGTTTAGGGTGTTTAGGGTTTAGGGTTTCAACTCCTCGAAACCGAGGTGCCCTGGAGTAGGCTGTCTTGCGGCTGTCAAGGTCGGGCAGCGAATGAACGTCATACGCATCCTCGGCTTGGTCAGCCTAAACCCTAAAAAAACCCAAAGGGTTTAGGATTTAGGGCTTAGGGTTTAGGGTTTAGGATTTAAGGTTTAGGGTTTAGGGTTTGGGGTTTAGGGTTTAGGGTTTGGGGTTTAGGGTTTAGGGTTTGGGGTTTAGGGTTTAGGGTTTTGGGATGTCCCCAAACCCAGCCAGTGCCCTCTTGGGTGCATGCGAAGTTGTTGATTTCAGATTCAACGGAAGAATTCCGACGTTGACCCCTAAACTTTTACCCCTAAACCCTAAACCCTAAACCCTAAACCCTAAACCCTAAACCCTAAACCCTAAACCCTAAACCCTAAACCCTAAACCCTAAACCCTAACAACCTCTAGAGCCCTAAACTTCCAGGGAATCGAAAAGCGTCTCCTGGCATTGGCGTCAGCAGCAACGCGCCCTTCTGCCGCAGTTCCAGGAGGGTCCTTTTGGGTCTCTGGGGGGGCTCTGGGGCTTAGGGTTTAGGGTTTCGGGTTTCGGGTTTAGGGTTTAGGGTTTAGGGTTTAGGGTTTAGGCTTTTTTTGCCACCCGACTAGCCACAGCAATGCGGGGTACATTGGAGTTGGGAGAAATCAAACCCCAGAGCGGCCCACGCCTGGACAGGGATATCGCCCAAAAAGGCATTCAGGTTAGGAAAGAGTTGGACTTGGTACGTTAACCCTAAACCCTAAACCCTAAACCCTAAACCCTAAACCCTAAACCCTAAACCCTAAACCCTAAACCCTAAACCCTAAACCCTAAACCTTCCAAACTCCAGAAGACCGATTGCGCCCCCCTCTCTCCCTCGATGGGTTTCGGGTTTAGGGTTTAGGGTTTCGGGTTTCGGCTTTCGGGTTTCGGCTTTAGGGATTAGGGCTTCGGGCCTTAGGGCCTTTGGGTTTAAGGGTTTCGGCGGGTTTTGGAATTCGGGGTATAGGGATCTGGCAGGGCCTAGGTCTTGCTGCGGTTGGAATTGAAGCTTCTGTGAATGAAACTGTCAGAGGATTGAAAGTCTGAGAGCCCAGCACCCTAAGCCCCAAACCTCATGGCCACCTGAACCTTCAACCCTCTTCAACCCTCTTGACCCCTTAAGACCCATCCTAAAGCCCAAAGCCTCCTGATGGCAGTGGGCATCCGAAGCCCAGGTTCATGTTCGCACTGGGCGTCTGCCGAGTGTCTTCTGTGTGTGGACGAAGTCCTTGTTGTCAGCACCGTACATGATCCTTGGCTGTACTCTCTCTTCACCCTCAGCACATCCTGCTCCCTCAGCAGCCCTGGAACCTCTTGATGCTATGTTGCTTAAGGGCTTCGGCGTACTGGGCCTCTTCATATTGAACGCACAGATCCACCTCAAAGCCGAAAGTCTCAAAAAAACGCGCAAAACCCTTGCCGCCCGGTTCAGAATGGCCGGACTGCTGACCGGGATCTGTATTTGGAGCTCTGGGAAGTGGCTGTGAGCTTGCAGCGCCACGACGGGCAACGTCACCACCGGCCGCGTCTCCGGGATCATGATCGAGATCTCGCTGCGGTTGTAGACAAAACCTTGGCGGTGAGTCATAGGTGCTATAGCTGCTGTAGAGACTATGTGCTACAGCTGCTATAGCCGGTCTTTGTGGTACCTTGCATTGAAACCCGAAGCCCTTAAAGCCCAAATTGCAAAATCCGCAGGGGAGAGGGGGGGGAAATGAACTTCCGCAGATGCTGCCCCAAGGTAGATGCAAAGTCACTTCAAAGGCTTTAGGCGCAGCCTCTCATCTCGCACACGGTTGCTTACATGTATATAGAGGAAGGTGGTTCTTAGGGGGCCAGCAGCTTGGGTGCCGAGGTCTACTTGAGTTCTTGGGGCGATGGAATTTTCACCGGTCTGCTCTTCAGCTCGAGACCACTATAAGCTCCAAACTCTATACCCAGGAGCCGGGAAGAGCTGGGACACCGAGCTTGTCTTGGCTCGCGCCTGGCCGATGATTTCGAAACGCGACTGCCACGACCCCCATGTCCACCAAAGCCTTTTGCCTTCCGGACCCGTAGAAGCCCTAACAAAAAACCCTGAGGGCCCTTTTGACCCCGAAACCCCAAACGGCAAGAAGCCTGGGGGTGGAGGGGCCTTCTGAAACCTCCGGAGAAAAAAAAAACGGCTGAACTTCGGGATGAACCCTCCATGTATACCCCCTAAAGAAGGGCTCCTGCCTCGGAGCGTGACAGCTCCAGAGAGGCAGACGAAGCATCCCAGCAGCTCCAGAAGCATGTGGCCGCCACCAGTGTAGTAGGTGCGAAGAGTAGTTCTCGTTGGGTTAAAACGTTGGTAGATCTCGGAGCCAAAAAAGCAGAATTGTGCAGCGATCTTTCACGCATCGCTCGGGCCCTCGATGCTCTCGAAGTCTTCCAGGGCTGCTTGTTGTCTCTACTTGAAGCCCCCCCCTTGTAGACCCACCCTCGCTCCAAATATGGGCGCTCAAGACTCCCTAAAGCCATGGTGGCTCAACTCAAGGCCAGCCTGTCGGCTTAAACCCGGTTGCATCCAGGCCTCCCGACGAATGCCGATCGGCTTCAGCCCTAAACCCGTTTGACCCCAAAACCCAAACCCGGAGCCACAGGAACTCTCTTCTACACTTGACCCCCCCCCCCCCCCCAACAACAAATCCAGGGTTGTGTTTTGCAAGTGTCTACAGTGTTGCTTAGGGGACTAGGGGACTTAGGGAGTGTGGAACGCATCTGGGACTTTTGCGCGCTTGCGATCCACTCAGAGTTTTGGCCATCCTATGGTCCTATGGCCGTAGCCTGCGAGTCTCGAAACCCAAACGACTCCAGGAATCGCTTCCCCGACTTCGCCGGGGATCCCTCACCTGCTCGCGTGAGACGCCTGCAGTCAAGGGAAGGGTTGTTGGGTTTGGAGTTGGGTTTAGGGTTTCGGGTCGGGCCATGCCAAGCGTCTTTCTTGCACCTTTAAAACTCTTGTGTATATGCATTCCTCTACATATATATATATACACATGTACACACATCTCTGTTCTATTCTCTTTATTCGCATGCGTTTCGAAGGGCAGGTACGTCATATGATCTCTCTCGCTCTCTCGCTCTCTCGCTCTCTCGCTCTCTCGCTCTCTCGCTCTCTCGCTCTCTCGCTCTCTCGCTCTCTCGCTCTCTCGCTCGCTCGCTCGCTCGCTCGCTCTCTCGCTCTCTCTCTCTCTCTCTCTCTCTCTCTCTCTCTCTCTCTGTCTACTTACCTGTCTATTCATACCCTCAACCCGAATTAAACGCTAACCGGCCCTAACCCCTGAGCAAAACACAGCAAAGACCTCTTGAGGCACCTTCCTCCAGCTCGCCCAAGCGAAGCCAGATTTTGCCTCGGAAATCCGCGAGCTCTGAGGTTTTCTGGGTTACTACCAAGGAAGTTCATGTAGCAATCTTCAAGTAAGCCATCAATCATGTGGAGGTTGATAAACAAAATGGTTCCCTCTCCACGAGAAGCTTCTTTAAGTTCCTTCGTAGGCAGGGTCAAAGCTTACAAGATAGGATCTGAGTCCTTTACAGAAAAATCTCGGTAAGCTGTTGATTTCTTGTCACTTGCCTGGCTGATCCTCCGCTTCACTGCAGGGCAGGGTACAATCTGCAGAACTGCGCATTTAACGTTTCCAGCAGCACACTTCCTGCCCCTCGTTTCGACCCGCAAGAAAGATCGAGCCGAAAGTCCTACACACATAAAGGGGCACACCGGAGATTTCGGGAGCAAGATAGTTCAGAAGAAAGCTGCCAAAGACTACAAGCTGACTCCTAACTACCGCAAGCCGTGTATGGCTTGTAGTATGGGCAGGTTCTTTTTTCTGAACTATCTTTCTCGCGTGGTCTCTGGGATGCAGAGCCTGAGGCTTGGGCTTAGGCATTGCCACGTGTTTCATGGCTGCATACACCAGCCACGCACGACCCAATCGTTGCCCGCAAAGGAACTTGCAAGAATAGAGCATATGTGTCATTATGTATGCTTTTATGTGTTTTAGCTGTGCATAGACATACACAGTATATACTATACTATATACTAGTACTATATAGCAAAAACGATATAATATGTACTACATAGTATAGAAAATTGAGTACATAGACTGATAACCTGTATACTATCTACTATATACTGTATACTACTATATACTATACCGTATACTCTATGCTAATTGTGAAGTCGACCAGCACTGGACTTGCACTAAGCCAATGCAATCACAGCCCGGTCACGCTGTTTTACGACTTCGCGAGTTCAAGCGCTTGTGCAGCTACGCCTGAGTGCGTCCGGTCGGACCGCACAGCAACCTAAGAGCTACTGTACGACTCTACCGTGCTCAAAGGCACAAGCTCGGTACTTGAGCCAAAACATTGGCATTGTTACGAATTGCAAAACTACTCATGCAAGGGAAAACTACAAGCTGCACTAGCACTAAGCAAGCACTCCATGCATGCTTTGACCTGCTCACATTCGCCCCTCAGCCGAGGCTTCCGGCTCACCACGAGCTCATAGTGCGACAAGCACTTCAGCAACGCGGCAAATGGGGTAGGGTGAGGGTGTCGCGTGCGACTCCGGTAGAGCCCGCACATCATGAGCATTGGCATGCGGCTTGGGCGGCAGCCCGCACTACCAGACGTACGCACGACGACAGCAACCCTCCACGACCCTAAACCACCCCAAGTCGCGAGCTCTCACCTTTGTGCAGGCAGGCGAGGCTCCAGAGTACTGGGCAGGTCTTTGTGCTGCTAGTGCAAAGCTATGGTACAAATGGTACACTGTACACTACCGGTCCTAAGCTACGGCTACGGCTACTCACCTATCCGGAACTACCCTACGGGCTACCAGACTCAGCGAGAGCCGCGCACATGGCTTGTGCCGCAGGCAATGCAGCTCACACGCGCTTCGGCGAGCGCATTGCCGCGACCAGGACACGGTCCGCAGCACCTGCAAAAGAGCACCCTCAACACGAGGGGCCACAGGCAGGGCGAAGGAGAAAAGTGCGGGGAATGCAAAATGGGCAGGGAAAACCCCTGCCGCGGCTCTTCGCCCGCAAGCAAAACACAATCAAAAGAGGCTCGACAGCGTGCCGCGCTGTGATGCCTAAGAAATCGCGTGGAAACCATTCCACGCCGCGCCGACTGGCCGCAGCCTACTCGATACCCTGTGGAGCAGTGTTGGGGGCACGAGCGGCGATGCCAGCAACGTTGGAGCTACTGGCTCGCTCCAACTGAGGGCGCTTTGCGACCGCCTCATCGAGGGAGAATGCCTCAGCCGACACCCTCTGGAAATCCTCTATGTAGGACTGCACGACTGAGTGCGTCTTGGGGACCTCAAGCCTAAGCCCTGCCTCCGCATTGGCCTTGCTGCTTGTGGTAAAATTGAGGCTCCCAACCAGCACCACCGCGCCATCAGGCCGCAGTAGGCAAAGGGCCTTGGCATGGTGAAGCCCTTGAATCCCAGTGCCTACCTTAGCCCCGCGGCCGTCGCGAGCATAGGCGTCGCGCACGGATGTGCCGCAACCCACCTTCACCTCGGCGCCTGCAGCCGCCAAGCGTTTCAACGCTTGCCACTGCAGTTTGGTGCGGTGGCATTGTCCCATGTCGGCGACAATCCGAACGCCTGCGCCCTTGCTGAGCGACGCTTCGATTGCCTCGATGCAGGATGGGCAATCTAGGCTGTACGCCCGGATGTAGATCACATCCTCTGCTGCTCCAGACCCAAGCAGCGTTTGGGCGGCCTGAACGTATGGCCCGCCCGCAAGGAATTCCACTTCTTTGACTGGAGAACTCCTAGCGGGAACTGGGCCCTTGTTCCTCCGGCTGGGTGTGCGCGCCACAGTGGCAGTGGCGGCACGTTGCACGGAGCCGGACTGTGCGTGGGCTGCGCTCGCTCCATCTGCTGGGGCCGCGGCCAGGTCACGACCCGCGAGCCCCTGAAAGCAGGAGAGCCCGCGGCTCTTGGCCGCAAGTTGGGAGAAACATCCTTCACTGTTCCCCACACCCAACACCACCTTACCCTTAGCTAGGGCTTCGGAGGCGGTACTCCGAATGGAGTCTGTGAACGCAGGACCCGCGCCTCGCTGGGCCGCGTGCAAAAACCCTAGGGATCGAGCGGTGTCCATTGCGGCATCGCAATGCCCGCAGCGTCCCTCTGCCAGGTAAGCACGGCAGCCACAGGCAGCTGTCTCCTCCTTGAGGTGCACCCAAACCTTATGGGTCACCCCCTTCTTGGTGCTCGCGACCTCAAACGTCGCTTCAGAGCCAAGGAGTTGAGACAGCCGCGCCTCGGGGGCCGCGGTGTTGCCATGTTGCAAATGCGCAATGCGATTGGCAACGGCACGACTCACGTACCACAGAACAGCACTGCACAAGATCACTACCACGAGAGTGATGGCTGTTCCGGCGACCCACACGGTCCGCCTGGCCCCGTGACCGATTTCCTCGACCACGTCGGCCGAAATTGTTGCAACCGCGTGCATAGAGTCCTCGACAACATGCACAGCCCCGCGGTGCAACTGCAAGGCAATCGGCGCCGACGCTGCAGCCGCCAGGCCCCACCAGCCGTTGATGTTCCCGTTGAGGGCGTGCACCAACCGATTGAGGAGCCCGCGACCCAGGAAAAACGGGGTCCGCGGCGGAAGCGGAACACTCGGCGGTGGCCGGGCCGACCCGCACGGGAAGGCTGGGACCCAGCTTGTGCTTGGGCGGGGCTGGAGCGCGGCAACTATGCCCGCGGCGTAAGCGCCCCAGGCGTACCTGCCCCTCCCCTTGGGCTTGCCCTTGGCATCGGACTTGCCTCTGCCCTTCGGCTTGCCCTGGCCCTTGCCACGGGCGTCTGCCCAAGCACTCCAAGGGTCGCGGCCCTTGCCGTACGCCGCGTCTTCGCGACGCCGCTTACCACCCCTCTTCTTGTGTTTGTTTCTAAGAAGGGGTTGGATGGTTTCTTCGTCCATCGCACGATTGGCCAGAAGGATCTCGTGCTCCAGCTCGTCCTGGCTGCTTTCGGAGCCGGAGTTCCTTTCCTCGCCGCGCCGCGGATCAGGGATCCCGCGAGAGACGACCTCTGCCAAACGGAGAGGGGTGCTGCAGCGAAAGCACAGCTGCCTGAATGAAAGGTTCCATTCATAGCAGTTAGGGCACTGCCACCCTGCAATGCGGAGCGCTTCGCTGATGTGATCATCGCGCTCCGCCTTCTCCGCCTGGCGCCGCTCTCGCTTCTTGGCGCGCTCGGCCGCCTGCGCCTCCTCGGCTGCC